AAACTCGTCAGTTGTTGAGATCACTTCCATCTTGAGGCTGCAGTTTGTGACGAATGGATTCGCGTATTCCGATCTGGTTGGAAAATGTTGAAGGAGCCCTCTTGACCGGTTGTCATTTGGAACATTCCGGTTGATGGAGTTCGTCAAAAACGGGCTTAGCTTTCGTCTGTCAGGTTACCTGTACGTCATCCTTGTTACGACTCTGACCAAATCAACAGCATGTGGCAATAGTCCAGCGAGTGCTTTTGACCGGTTTCCTTGAAGAGGCTACAAAATGGTGTTCCAGCTCTGGTGAGCTTCTTCAAGGGTTGTCCGGACGACTGGGTCACTCTGAACGCTCCAGTCAGGCAAAGAGGGTGTCGACGTCTCCTGTTTAGGTGGATCAAGACGAACCTCTTTTCGGACAGCCTCTCACCCGAAAGGGAGGATTCAGCTTTCATTTCTGCATACACTTTTTTCAATTCGCCAACCTCTTTGTTGATCGTCACTTGTCGTTTGCCCCTCTCGTCTGTCTGGACGGTACAACTTTCTGACGGCCCATTGTCTCTTCGCCTATTCCGCCCCCACAACTCTGCAAGCAGTCGGCTTTCGCGACGTCCTACACACATTTCACACACACTCTCTCTCTCTTTTTGGCGTTCGTTGGCGCGATCCTTTTCTCGCGTAAACCCAACCGAAAGTGTCACGTTCTACTCTCTTGAGTCTATTATTATTCACTTTCTCTGCCCCCTTCTCGATAGTAGTACATTCACACATTTCAAGTCGAGCACACTTCGTCGTCACACCAGTCGGTCCTTGCGTCGCCTGTACCCTTCCTTCGTTTGGCACCTCCGAGGTTAGCACACACAGTTTTTTTTCTTTCAATTAACACCTCTCCAGTCCGCTTGCAGTCACTCGTTTCTGGGTGTGTTGCAGCCGGATTCCTGTACTTTTCGGGTATGAATCCAACTAGCTGCTCGGTTCTGCCAAGTCATCGTTCGCTTCCAGTCTCCCCGAGTCTGATGTCTTCCGATCGGACTCAGGCCCATTCTCTCATTCGTCTGCGCACTTGGTTCCAAACCCACTACCACTCGTTGCCACGCGCCCCCAAGACCCTTCGAAATGCGGTCAGCCCTTTTCTCGGTCATCCCAGACCGAGCCCCGACTCGTCTTCCGGCATCCGCACTCTCGACACCACTTACCTGTCCTTCCCTCTCCCTGTCGACCCTTTGCCCAAACCACACACACGCACACAATCACGTCACACCCGCACCGTCACAATGTCGCCGGCCGCGGACCTCTGCTCTCCCGGCTCCACTCAACACGTCCACGCTGCAGCCCGCCGCCGGCTCTACTCCTGCATGGCGGATCCTCTGGCCGCGGCATCGCAGAATGTGCTGCGACTGAAACGGGTCTCCGACTCACCCCAGCTCTTGGTCATCAGCAAGTCGCTGGGCCAGGCAAGTGGTACCGCATTTTTGTGATTCCTGACTAAGGACTTGGCCATTTTGCGTTTATGAGTAGGCTCTCGAGACGACCAGTAGATCAGATGTATGCGATTTATTCTGCGCTATTTCTGTTATTTACGAAGAAAAGTTGTTTTATCATTGTTGAGCTCACTTTCATTTCGAGTGGAAGTGTTGCGTGAAGAGATTCAAAGGTCGCTTCCACCAGAAGACTACCACTTGGTGGGGATTTGCCGGTGAGTTACCTTGAATTTGGCTGTGACGATGATACCTTGCTCGGATGATGTTCGTAAAGTGACGGACTAAAGCTTAGCTGGTGGAACCAACCTTCGAATCTCTTCACCCAACACTTGCACTCGAAATGGAAGCAAGCTCAGCAACATTTCACTTATTGTCATGAAGGATTGGCAGTTGAATTTTCACACAATCACATGACCAGACCTAACGTTTTCATACAATTTCGCATAGCCTTGCCTCTCGTTCATGCAAAGGTGGACGCCATTTGGTTGGTCTTATCAGTTCCCGAGATCCATGTCCGCCCTTTGGCCTAGCGGTTTCGAGCAGTCACTTCACACAACCTTGATATGTAGACCATGACTTTGTGTTGTAATGTTTGCTGAATGACTTGGTCGGTCGATCTCACCAGAAGACGACGGCCAAGTTACGTTATGCAGTCATCTGTTTTCACTTCGATGAGGCATCCTCCCTCGTTTCAGGCGAGCACTGGCCGAGCTCTATTCCACCACGTTACGACGCTCTACAGAGCTGGAACGCGTTCTTGCATGAGTCTCAACTTAACAACACCGATTTTCGTATTGGAGTACAGTTTCGAGACTACCAGTAAATCAGTAGTATGAGATGTATTCACCCTATTTCATCTAAGCTGATGAAGGACTGGTAGAAGAAGAATTTTCCCACAATGATATCAGTTGAGCTGACGTTTCCATTCAATTTCACATATTTTTCGAATTAAGTATTGTTTTTCGGGTCTACCAGTAATCAGTAGTATGAGATGGTATTCACCCAATTTCGTTTAAGGGGATGAAGGACTGGTAGAAGAAGAATTTTCCCACAATGATATTAGTTGAGCTGACGAGTCAGTTTCTTCATTTTTTCTTTTTAGAATTCCATGTCCGTTAGTTCTAGGCTTCTGATCATTAAACTCCTCATTATTTGCATCTTCGGTCGGTGGTTGTGCTGCGGCTAGAAAGTGTGGATTCCTTCTTAAATAGTCTTTTTTGGGTGTCCCCGAGCACGGAGATATGTCACGTCGACTGGCCAATCCCGGACAGCGGCACGTCTGTGTTGTTTAGCCCTTTGAAGACACGTCTACACGACTGGGATAAAAGTGGAGGAAAAGTCGAAGAGATTCCAGTGACTCAACTTCCCAATTGTATGAGATGTATTCACCCTATTTCGTGTAAGCTGATGAAGGGCTGGTAGAAAATGCATTTTCCCACAATCATATGAGTTGAGCTGACGTTTCCATTCAATTTCCCATATTTTTCGAATTAATTATTGTTTTTCGGGTCTACCAGTAAATCAGTAGTATGAGAT